CATTCGACGTTAGATAGGAGAAAAGTACACATAAATGGAAAAGACTAGTTCAAGTTAATGAGATGGTGTTCAAGACAATACATGTAATTCTATCTGTACTAGGCTTTTCGTTGTGTCACTCGACAATTGAGATCTGTACTATAGTGGTTTTTATTTGAAGAAGTGAACTCTATGAATAAACTATCCTGTATAAATATCACATTTGCTCATCAGAACAATTTTTTCCATTGAGCAGTACAACTTAATGAAATATTTTTAACAGCAGGGAGAGTTTTACGTTAGGTACGATTTATAGGAATTCATTTAAGTACGAGAAACATTCGATGGCTAGATATCGAGAAGAGTGAATGAGAAATAAACAAAACGAGTCGAAAAGAAGTCAAAAATACTTGCGAATGATGATTAGTGTAATACAATTAGTTTACGTACAACATTAACAATTATAGACATTATCTTTACGAATAGGCACACATTTTATTAAGCATAATAAAACAACAGCAGTAATTTTCATTTTATTGAAACTTTTCAATAAAATGAAAATTACTGCTGTTGTTTTATTATGCTTAATTAACAATTATGTTTGATAATTCAGAGATTTATTATATAGTTTTTTATACATTTTTATCATCAACAGAGAACTAGCATGAGATTATCTGAGATCGTTTCAACTCACGTCCAAATGGACTAAAAATATACTTTTGTGTGTAATTGTAAAGTCTTATGTTATAATCAATCCTGATGTCAATTGAATATTACACAAAAATTAACTTTAGAAATATGCTCGCATGTACATAGAGTTTCAATTAGGAATCCAGCAATGATTATGATTTTTTATAAAGAGACAATCACAATCTACTTACTTTCTAGATGTTCACATTAAAGAAAACATGCTTCTATAGGACTAATCAAAAATTTGTTCGGAAATAGTACAATGAGATGGTATCAGATGTTTATTATAGTGAACTCAAGATGGGATAATCTGTTATAGAAATGAGCTATATTACAAACATTTAAAGATATTCAAAAAGTGTAGAAAAAAAATTAGCGTATGCAGATGGAATTTTTGAAGATTTTTACCGCAATACATTGTAATTTAAACCTCACAGTAGAGAATAATAAAAACAATTATAGTCAATCATAAATTTTAAATGAGCACAATAATCAGAGAGAGCTAAAACATTCAGGAAATATTCAATTGATCGACAGTGCATAGAAAAAGACTGCGATGATGCTACATCTACACTCTAAAACGAAATGCGACTTAGAATCAAATTAAGTCACATTAATGTGTCTTATTTTCACCGAATAAGGCACATTAATGCGACTTAATTTGATCCTAAGTTCCATTTCGTTTTAGAGTGTACAACTGTTGAAAATTTGAATCGTCCTACTCTCATCTTCATCTCAATCACACATACAAATCTCTTTTTCCAAGTATAGCTAGCACAAAGTCCGTTGTACAAAAGACAAAAATATACCAGAAACATCATCTTCACTATCATTTATGAACTATATCTACAGTTTTAACGTAGCAAAAACAGTTTTTAATGAAAACTTATGTGCTGTCTGTTGTATATTCTGAACAATTTTTATTCATAATTTTTAACTAACTGAGAAACCGTGAGCATTTGCTAAAGGTAGTAGCTTACTTATTTTCTTTTGATCGTTCATTCATTCACTACCATTTTCTTCTTTCTTATTAGTAAAAAATCCGGCCATACTTCTAATTTTTACTATAGTAATAACAGAATGAGAAGAAGAAGGTAAATAAATGTTGTATTTTACATGCAGATGGCGCACATAAACGCAACACCTATGAAAAGGTACAACCTGGATATAAGAGTGTAGAAAATTACGTAAACAAAATCAAATAATAATCTTAAATTAGTTGTCTTCCCTTCAATTGCTTATAAATACAGGTGATCGCATAAGATTTTGTTCGTATATATTCATCGATGGTTTTTCTATGTATTCGATCGAGATGTCGGACAATCTGTTCAGTTATATAATTGTACGAATAAAATATCTGTCTATTAGTACAGTATTGTTTAACCCCTTGCAGACGGGGTTAAAGCGTCGAAAATTCAAAATTCGAACGGAATTTATTTTTTCAGTATTTATACATGGTTGGATCGAGCTCGCCGAGCTAAATTTGAATATGTGTATTTTAACATTTGAAAAAAAAATTGGAGGATTGAAAATTTAAAAAAACAAAAATTTTAATATTCTTAAAAGATGGCCTAATTTTTAAAAACTAGCCAAAATATCTGTGCATAGTTTTTAGATAATTTTTAAAATATTTTATTTTTATTCTACATGAAACATAGCTAAAGTACCTTTCCCAGTCACGGTAAAATTTTTAACTCATTTTAGTTAGAAGATAAAGTCAATATTTTTATATCGTTATAATTGACTCAAGCCCACTAAAACACACATCAGTCGATTCCGTTTTTGATGCTGATTTCAAGTATGACATTGGTTGCAAAAAAATGAAAGTTTGACAGCGAAAACTGTAAAACAGAACGCATATATGCGTTTCCCGTCTCCAATACGTTAAAAGTTTTTGAAATTGAGTTTTTAGACTATAGTAAGTAATAAGATTTCATCCACAAGCAGTTGTTACCATTGTGAAACATGAATGAGTTAAAAACTATCCATCACTTAACGAATACGAGATATTGATTTGATTCAGCACTACAGTATGATCCACAACCGATATGTGTTACACACTTCAGAATCTAATCGAAGAAAGATAATTTGTGTTTATTGCTTAGACTAAAGCTTACAATAACGAAAGAAAAACCAAAATATGTTTTATCACAAGAAGAGAAAAAAAAGATGGCTACATTTTTATGCGTGTATTCTCAATACAAGAAAAACAAACAATCATAACAAAATTAATATAAGATGGAAGAACAGGTCGTAAGAATTGTAGTCAAATGTTGATGTAAAAAATCTGGCTTTCTAAACATTATTTAAAATAGTATTTTTTCGAAACAGCGGAACAAACAAGTTACACTTATACACATGAAGAAATTTTGTTCAGAAAAAAAAAATAGAATAAAATACGTGCAAAAGAAAACAAGTTTATTAATATCTATAAAATCATCCTGTTTGTTTGTCAGCAATAGCATTCAAAATATTGCAAAGAAAAACTGACGATTGTTTTTCAAAAAAAATTAATAATTTCTATTTTTTCTTCTTAGCTTTTGATACCATTAAACGAATTTCATCGTCTGTTGCACAATCTTCATACGATTGATCATCAGGGGATTTGCCATTGACATCAGCATTCTAAATAGGAAAAAAAAAACATTTTTAGAAATTTTTAATATGACAATACACTTTTTTTTAATTTTATTATGTCTTCAGTTCTACTCTCTTTTTTATTCTATCTCGTACACTAACTTTAGATATTGGGCTAGAAAGTATATTATGTTGATATAAATGAAAAAAAATGTCACTAAAAAGAAACAAAAAATTATATTTTGAGTAATTGAATCTTTTGTTAACTATATTCATCCTACATACACAGTTTCTTTATATTTTCTTTTTCTGTCTATAGATGATTATGTGGATTAGCGATCATCTTTCTTTAAGCACAGTCCCCAGTGTTATCTTTATGTTACAGTATGAGGATCAAATGAATATTTGTTATCTTGCCTTGCTCCTCATAGGAACACATTTTATTCACTATTATTTTTTAAAATAAAATCTTTCAACAGTGTAATAGAACCATAGACTTCTTGAAAAACATAAATTGTCCTCATATATAGGACGAATAAAATGAAAATTTTCTTTTGATGGAAGAAAAAAATGGTCTGATCAGCTATTTAAGCTAAGTCTGTTTGACAAAGATTAAATTCAAATTCAAGGTTATTTTGTTGGAATAGACAAGATGCTGAAGTATAACATGTACCTTCTTTAGGCCGGATCGAGTCGAATCAAAACTGACTATGTCGACCTACGGAGAATATAACAGAGTTTGTGAAACTCGGCAGCTGTCATTAATTATGAAATCAGAAGCTCTAACCACTGAGCTACTGAAGCAAGATCTAACATACACTCTCAGTTCACATGATGATTTAACTATCAGAATCTCGAATACTTTATTTTCATATGTTTGCTTATTAAATTGTCTCACTTCTAGCCCTGTTAAAAATCATTTTCTAAATTCTGAGTATTACTGCCTCTCAAAAGCTTAACTATATAATTATCAAAAACAGTCATACATATGACTTGAAAATGGCCATTTCTTTCCATGTTATAGAGCGATCACTATCTTATCGTTAACATAATTCAAAAAAAGTAAACATTTGACTCTTATAGTTCATTTAAAGTTTTTGGAAAAGTTTTCGTTATTATTTTAGATGAACATAGACAGAAAAAAGACGAGCTATATGCTGGAAAATATGACAATGTGTCGAAAGCAGGAATGCCAGATCCAAATTAAGAAAATCAATAGATCTTTGAACAAAAAAGAGCAGAAACAAGGCAGAAAAAGTTCCAAAAATCAGAATTTTTTTGCCAAGATCAGAAGATCTGGGATCCCTGATCGGATGGCTTAAGTTGTCTATACACGATAACTGGCCGCTCGCAAATAAAAACGTTTAGTCCAATTCTTATTCTAATCTTTTATTTAATTCTCACCCATTTATAGAACACGTAGTAGTAGTGATAATAATAGTAGTAATGGTAGTAATAGTAGTAGTAGCAACATGGAACATGATAAATAAACAAAAAAAGAAACAAACATTGATAGATATATATATATCTTTCTAAAAAAAAGTTATATTACACAAGAGCAGAAAAAACAAGGAACGAAAGAGAGATGTTGCCAAAAATCTTCAAACCAACGTTCACATAAAATGTTCGAAGTACAAACAAAAACTTGTGATTTTTAAAACGAAAAACTGGATGCGTGCTGGAAATGTCTATAATTATTTACAATGACTAGAAGCACAAACGCGTAGACAGATAAGACGGGTCGTAAACTAAGCGGTAAAAAAATAACCGGATTTGGATATACGTCCTCTGTCCAATGAAATAATTTTTATATCGGATTATATAATTAACCAACAATGATTTCTCTCATTTAACGAGTTTACAACCAAGTTGAAGAGCAGCTAGTGCTACGCATACACCGTCACGACAAGACTCACAACCGTGATGTTGTCCTTTTGGTTGACCAAAACGACGATAATGATTTGATTGTACTTCTGGTACAGATAATTGAGGATAATATTTTTTTGATATAATAACAAATACGTTACGTAATACACGACAAACTTCTTCTAGAAACATAGAACGAAAAAAACACAACTTTAAGAGATTTTGTAAATTATTTTAATTGAAAGGCGAGAGTACAACCGAGAGGACGATATGAGAACCAAAGAAATGAAAGATGGAAAGTAACAGAAATCGCTAGGTAACCAAGCCACTGTTTCTTTATTCAGACTACTTACAATAGAATTTTGGGGCTTTAGTTTTGTCTCCAAACACTAAACTAACACTTTAGTTGTACTATCAAAAAACGTCCGCTATGGTAATGTAAGGTCAAGTCATTGTCAGATGTTTACTTCTTAGAGTGGCATGATGGATTTTCTTTCAGTTTCTTTATGAACCAGAGGGATACTTTCAACAAAAAAATAGCCGTTCTTCTTACCTGGATACCAAAGTGGATCGTTTGTATGATAACATTGATCACAATTTTGATGAAATAATTTAAAATACAGTAATCCTTGTCCTGTAGATTTGTCGAACAAATAAAAAAATGACACCTGTCCCCGCATAGATGTCCAACAATGTCCACACTGTTCACATTCAAATCGAACTTTGGCTATTTCAACATCACAATCACATTCTGTGGGTAATTTTAGTGAACCATCATATGAAATTGGTAATAAAATCCATGTGTCTGGATCAAAATATCTTCCAAATGTTGCTTGAAATTCTGCATGAAACACTAGACACATATCGGAACAAAACTGCTTTTTTTCTTCATCGGTAATTTGTGTTGCTAAACGATAATCTTCCTCTGTTAAAAGTTTCTGATCTTCTTGTGGTAGCTCGAATTTAATATCTTCTACATTTGTGGATGGCGTCGGTGATGTTAAGTTTGAATGAGAAGTTGTTGAACCAAGTAGAAAATCAGATGTATACGATTCACTTTCGGATAAATGACTTGTAGAGTCATGAAAGCCTTTATCTTCAGAAATTGAGGAAAAACTTGATCCGTGATGTTGCGGACAAAGAGAGGAGGTAGATTTAATTGGTGACTGACGATCAACATCCCAACGAATGCCAACATCAGCTTGAACTGTATTGATTGATGTTTTAGTTGAACGAACCATGATTATTGTCAGAGGTATTTGAGTAAAAATAAGTTTATACAATAGTATTTCGTTGAATGCGTTGATTCTCTTTACAATGGCTATTTATATATATATATATATTTATATGTGTATGTTGATTCTCTTCTCTTCTCTCCTCTTCTATCGTTTCTTCTTTTCTTCTTTTTTTTCCTTTTTTTATTAACACACAGTTCTCGAGGTGCAACTGGAGTGTTCCACGAGTAGAGGAACGTGACTCGTTTTCCACGCTATTTCTTCAAGCTAGCGAGAACGTAGAATCGAAAAAAACACTATTTGAATTCTACAATAACAGCATCATTAGTAATGGTTCTATAATATGTATATGTTATACAGTAGTAGATGAGAACTATAGCTAGGTCAACATGTGACGGCAACATCGTACGATTACACAAGAATAAACATTCTATATACTTCATGACCTTTCGATATGAACGAAAAAAGTCCATTGAACATATGATTTTTATTAACGAGGAGCTTAATATGCTCTGAATATACTGGTCTAGTCAAGAAAAACATCAACAGAAAAAGCGAACACATGTTTTACATCATGGTCACGTTTAACAACATTACAAAGAAAATTTGGACAAAGCACTTTGCACTAGTAATAGTTTCTTTATATCCACTTAGATATAAACTTTCGAACCACGATTACATAATGATAGAAAAAATAAACTTTCAAACAAAGTATATAGATCTTCAAGGAAGCCTAATTTACTTACTGAGTTCCAAGGTCTTTCTCAGATAGGCTATCTTTGAAACGAACTGTTTAATCGTAGAGAAAAACGAATAACAGAACACTAATTAAAGAAAACTGGTATTTCAAAAATTATTTTTAGGAAAGCAAAGGTATTAACGTTATTAGATAACGTCTTTAGATTTCCATGCTACTAGCAAAATTCTCATTAAAAATTTCATTTTTGATGCTTTGATGATGAGGCGTAGGGATAACACATGCCTATCGTTTTCTTCATTATTCTCATTGCTTATCCTTCAGGATAGATTAGAATATATGTCTCTACATATAGTTAGGACACAAAAATGGTGCAGTAATTTGGTGAGATTGTACAGGATAAAAGATAGATTTTCAGTATTGTGGATGAGCTGAGAATATATGTACCATATACATAAATCTAAAGATAATTTTTAGTTTTCATTATGATAATCCACTAATTTTTCGTCTCTTCCGAGAAAAATCTTTTTGTAGCACAGCAACTGGAAAAAAAAAATTATTTACACTTGATATTTTCAGTTTTTGATTTTTTTTTCTCATATAGCAGGCAGCTGGTAAAAAGAGAAGAATGGCCAAAAATGCAGAACGAACAAGATTGTACTGTTTGACTCTTTTAACGGGAAAAGAAAAGAAAAATAATCTATTATCTGTTCTGTTGAAATAATTGGTAGTAGAAAGAATACAGCGTATCAGAATGCCTATTTTTATCATATGCATATTTTATGATTCATCAGCGCTGTTAACAAATTATCATTTTATCTGTTGAGAATTCATCAATGATATAAAACAGAAAAAATGGTTGACGTTTTATACTGTGTCATAATGAACAAGCAATAAACAAATGTTTTCTGCACTATCATGGTACAATATTTTTCTTATTCATCATCTCATCTCTTTCAGTTACATAATATGGAGAGATTTCATCATCTCATTTCTTTTTCTTACTAATTTTATACGTTTTACTACTATAAATTTCATTTTTTCGTACTTAAAGTTCAATTTTGAAATATAAGTGTATTTTTAGTACTAAGATAATTTTTTTCTCTTTCTCTTTTCTTATTTACGACTATATGAAGATATTGGGATCATTTGTCTTTTTGTTCTCTATTGTTTCATATATACATAACTGCAGAAGAAAAAAAAAATCTAATAAAATATTCGTGCTACAAAGTATTAGTTATTTATTTTTTTGTCTTATTTCTTTCTCCAGTCTGTTAACTACATTCTACACGATTCTTTTCATTAGAAAAAAACACCAATGCAAACCAATTCACAAAGAATAAAAAAAAAAACTACCACTATGTGTATTTTTTTGAATGTAGGCTACTGTCAGAGGAGAGAGTAAAGAATTCGAAATACCTGCCAGGTTTCCAGTTGAGCGCCTAAAATTTTCCAAATTTTTTCAAAAGATTCAGGAGACCAGAAAAGAAATTTAATTCGATATATTCAGCAATTCTGTATATATGAAATGTATTAAAGAATGTTTTTATTGAACAATAGAGTCTAATAGGTGAAAACTCTAGACAGCAATAACTCACGTGGCACGCCACGTGACGAAAAATTCATACTATGCGTTTCTTGTAATACTCTCAATGCAGAGGAAGTTTATAAAAGTTACATCCTTTATCAGTGGCGTCATATCTGGTCTACTTAGTCGAAACTTTCTCTGCATTGAGAGTATTTCAAGAAACGCAGAATATGAATTTCTCATCATGTGGTATGCCATGTGAGTTATTGCTGTCTAGGCTTTTCACGTATTAGACTCTATCGTTATCTAATCTGATGTTTTTATTGAACAATAGAGTCTAATAGGTGAAAACTCTAGACAGCAATAACTCACGTGGCACGCCACGTGACGAAAAATTCATACTATGCGTTTCTTGTAATACTCTCAATGCAGAGGAAGTTTATAAAAGTTACATCCTTTATCAGTGGCGTCATATCTGGTCTACTTAGTCGAAACTTTCTCTGCATTGAGAGTATTTCAAGAAACGCAGAATATGAATTTCTCATCATGTGGTATGCCATGTGAGTTATTGCTGTCTAGGCTTTTCACGTATTAGACTCTATCGTTATCTAATCTGATGTTTTTATTGAACAATAGAGTCTAATAGGTGAAAACTCTAGACAGCAATAACTCACGTGGCATGGCACATGACGAAAAATTCATGCTTGCGTTATGGGTAACTTTGAACACTGTATCTAATATAAAAAAAACGTTTAACTTTCAAATTCTTTGGTGGGGTTTTAGTCATATATTTAGAATAGGCTCTGGAGATATATTAAATTATCACTGGTATTGATATGTGTAATTAGCCATTTATAATAGAACTTTTTTTAAATTAGTTTTTGTAAAAATGGAAGAAAATCGTTTTAGTTTAAAACTTTTTCGAAATTTCAGATATTCAGGTGAAATCTCACCCTGATGTACAGCAAAACATTACAAACACGGCATCCGGTTCAAGCCGTTATGTCATCAATTCTATGCGATGGCATTAATGTCTATTAAAAATAGAAGCATTCTGTTTACTATTTTTGAAACTAATTAACAGAGAAAAATGTAGTTAACACAGAAAAGTTAATTCAAGATTGCAAATTTATTTTATAAGCATTGCAGATTATACAGTTTTCTTTGCACTTTCGTATAGAGTTAAATCTTTTACTATACAAATATATTATGGAAAAAGATCAAAGATGAGACACTCTTTGATCTTGTTTCGTATCGAAAGTGGTGATAAGAACCGTTAACTACCATTCGTCTGATCTTTTCTCTGTTGGTATACGAGAAAAAACGTAAATACATAATCACTAGTTTTACATGCCTTTTCAGATTATGTACAACGTCATTTACAAGAAATTCAAATTAACAAAGCATAACTTAATCGATCACACCCTGTGATACGATGCAATAACGTAGTGCATTGCCTTAGACCGATAGCTTAATAAATCTTCGTTTGACGCAAGAAGAATAGTGGTTACATAGAAACGTGAAAGTCTTTATGTTTTTTTCTTTTTTTTGTATTGAAGACAATGGACAATTATACTATTTTTAGTTTGATGAAACCCTTATGCACAATTGTCAATGTAATGACATTATAACAAGTATTTTCTTTTTCTTTCATCTTTTGGCTTACCTGTTCGATTAAATACCTGACGCATGATGCATGACTCTCGTAAATAGCGGCTAAGAGTGGAGTTATACCAAATTTGTCTTTTATCTAAAAGAACAAAAAAAAAATGAAATTTCATTCAGAGAATAAGATGTCTCGTTAAATATTACATTTATATTTGCACCATTTTTTATTAATTCTTGTAATATATCAAAATTTCCACTATCGGCTGCATAATGTATTAAATATCGACCGTTCATTTGTTCGTTGACTTTTTCTGGCGACTAAAAATCAAGCAAAAAAATTGATATAAAAAATGCCAGAGATCTTATAACTCTCACATGTTTCAGCATTGCTTGAAATGTTTGAAAATCTCCTGTTTTTGCACACCATATCCAACTATCATTTGAGTCACCCATGGAAAAAATCAAAAGAAATCGTATGAATAATAAATAAACAAAAGCACCACACAGTACAATATCAATGTTTCAATCTATCAGTATAGTAGTTTCGTTAAGTTAAATTAGTAGATCTAAAAATTGTAAAAAACTCACATGTGTGTTTAAAAATGATGGAAAAAACAAATTAACTTTCCACTACTTATAAAGAGACTGTTAAATAACAGCAAACTTGCAGGAAGTCATAGAACAAGTGAGATTTGTAATTCGTTACGAAAACAAACAGAATTATTGAAAAAATATAAAATCGAAACGAGTAAAAAGTTTTGGCCTTGTTTCATTAACACGTTGGTTGCCCGATTTAAAAAGAACAAAGCCAAATGTATCACCAGTGATGCATTGGCAGCCAACGTGTTAACATTCTTAAGTAGTAACTTTCGTAACTGTAACTTTAGTAAGTGCTTAGTTCTTTGTTAATTTTTAATAATTCTGTTTTATCTTAGTTAAAGGATGAATTTAATTCTTTTTTGATGCGTTGTCAAAAATTTAAAAGACATTTTCAAAATTATTTGAAATCTAATGCTGAAAAACGACACACTGAGAGAAAATGAGTATCGATATACCCCCATACACAGAGATTACACCAAAACTACTGATAAAATAGCCATTAGGATAGAGTATTTGTTTACTCAATATGCTAATCGTATCGTCAAATCGAGAAGTTGTATTCTTCTATGTGCACGGTAGTCTGACGACTTCAGCGATCATCAGGAGAGGAAGAGATTAACCAAGAACATTGACGCGCAAAAAAATTCAAGAATACATAGCACATACATTCGTATAACAACAACTAATGACGCCTGTATTAATAATAATATCATTTTAACTAAGTATAGACAATCGTTCGATATAGACAATAAAATATGTACGGTAAAAAGATCATTTTTCAGTTTCTCGTCCTCCAATGATCACTCTAATAACCGTGCTACCTTTTAAGAACTCCTGATCCTCTCGTTTTCTTGTGAAATTTACGGGAGTCGTTTGGTTGAATCATAAATATGTCAGCCGATACATAGCATAATATACACCACGAGAAAGTATTCTGCATGTAGGAAAAATAATCTTAAAAACGAAGTGTAATTTTTTTTTGACTTTTCTAAACGTATTGATCTTGCATGCCATATATCCCGAAGACAGAACGATGAAAAAAAGATATTCTTTTTGTGAACTGATAACCTGTGGGATTTGTTAGGTTTTGGATTCGATGCTTTGCTTATTTTCTGCAACGTTTCTATAAATGATTACTCCAGTGACCTAAAAGGCAGTGATAAAGGGTTAAATGATGAACTTGAGAATATCGAAAAAAAGACTCCTCTACTTTTTGAGCAGAAAATACTTGTACTAAAAAAAGAATTTCAAATTCTGTTAACAATGCATTAACGATGAGCACAATTATTTGCTGCATAAGTCCAGATACTCACAATACGACAAAACAATAATTCATCACATTTATCACACATTTCAAAAAATTGTAATACTGAGTATCAATGAGATATTTTATTTTTGAATGAGAAATACATGTTGTTCTAGAAAATAATATCAAAAGAATGCATATTTAATATTCACTCAACTTTTTTCATAAAAAATGAAAGAAACTCTGCGCTGCGTTTTCTGTTTATTAAACAATTTTGTACGTGGTTTAAAGTAAAAAAATTTACCGAACTTTTTTTTCAACATGCAATTTTTCTGTCAGCAAACGTGAATTGTTCAGTAATAGTATAATCACATGTACATTTTGTTTTAGCAAAGCAAATTCAATGTATGAAAATTTTGAATCTATATAAAAGAGAAAACGACTTCATTTTTTCTCGAAAAAAAGATCCGGTTACTGGGATACTTACTACGAAAAAGCTATCCACAAAAAGAAAAGGTGAAGGACTCAATCCAAACTACAAAAAAGTAGTAATGATAAACAGACAGAAGAAAAGTAGAGTGATGAATAGAAACAAGTAAACAAATTAAAAATAAAAAAAAGAACAAAAATAAATAAACAAACTAACATGAACAGCGACTGACTACAGACATGGCATAAATTTACTTAGAAAATCTGAAGACAGAGAAACGCTGAAAGACACTAGTAAAGAAAAACAAATTACTGTTTCTGGGACGCCAGTCAGTGACAGTAACATAAAAAAAAGAGAAGAAACTGTTAATGGTTGAAGTGAAACCATTAACAGGAGATGGATACGAACATGTTTAGAGTGATAGTGCGGTGAATAAACTTGATAAAAAATAGAGAGAGGAGAGAGAAAGAGAGCTGAGACGACGATAAATTCTGAAAGGTAATAGTAAAACATGAAGACACCCACAGACGGTACACATACAACTACAGACAGCTACACAGTTGGATGATTGGATGTCTGTGTAGCTGTCCGTGGCTGTCTGTGGTTGCTGTCTATAAGTATCTGTGGGGGTCTTCATGTTTTACTATTACCCAAATTCTGAAACCGGTATAAGCATAAAATACTTAAGGCGAATAAAGAGAGTTGAAGGAGAAAGTTATAACACAAGTCAAGAACTACAAAAACGATAGTCAGAAGTGTGAGAAATAACACGCGAAACAAGTTCATTCATAGACTCAAAACAGAGAGAGAAAACCAGCTGTCATGCAAGGCACAACAGTAATCAATTTTAGGATTGACATTGAGATACAACTGGTGATAAGTGAATGAAAAGAGGTTACAAGAAAAGCGAAACCAAGAGCATATATTAAAAGACATGAAATCAAAGGACCCATTTGAAACAGCCACCAATACAGTTATAAACATAAGTAAATTAGAAAAGTAGGAAAAAGAGAAAGAAACATTTAAAAAAATATCAGCAAAGAGACAGTTTTTACCATCGGGAGAAGAAAGATTATTAATAAAAATAAGAAGTAAAAAAGAACTAAGCATACATGAATGAATGAATGGTCTATTCACGAAAAGTGGGAGTCATCAAAGGTCCCCGACCTATAAGAACGATGACTCGAGCCAAACAACAAAAAGAATCTATAAATAGAAAAATAAAAAGTAAACTAGTGTACGTAATAGAGTGTACTGCATTAGCCTATACCAGAAGGAACAAGAGAAAGAGTCAGTCATTCACATGTACACACTGAGAACGGACTATTAGAACGCCCTCTATAATGTAGAATACTAAATAGCAGTGTTTCTAACAGAATTTATCTGCTGAGCGTCTGTTTTTTCAACCAAAGCGTATGCGTACGCTCTATTTTTTTCGCAAAGTTTCAAATCTAAAAGAGAAAAGAAGCATCAATTAGACGTCAGGAATTAGAGGAGAAAAATAGAAACTTTTTTTATACAGTTTTTTTCCCTAGAAAGCAGTCAATTACAAATAGAGAAAAACACCACTGAGCTTGTATAATAAGAAAAAGGTTTCTAGCCTCAAACAGCAGAATGACTCACTAGTTAAAAAAGTTTTTCTTATTGTCTCATTAAATATAAAAAAAGTTCTATTACATTAGAAAACAAAGTGTAAACAGCGATAGCAAAGCGTACACTGTACGTTCTGCTTTTCTCAAAGCGTACACTGTGCTTTTTTCAAAGCGTAAAATAGAGTGTATTTTTAAATTCCGAAGTGTATGTACTGTACGCTTTGATGCGGTGAATATGCTTTGCTATTAGAAACACTGCTAAATAGTTCAGTGATCGTAGCTTGTCCGAACACAAACCAAAACCGAGCATGAAATCAAATTTTCTTTTTATGCAATGTTAATCTAATATATTTGTATTTTTAAAAGACCAAAAAGTAGACTGAAGAAGCATTTCTTTTTTAACTGAACACATCATATAATACGCTTACAACTAATATAACCAGTAAAGACCTGTAAAGATCAAGAAATCTCATATGACATGAGACATGCAATTATCTTCTTATACGCATGACTCATTTTTTCGGTATCTTGCATTACTTTTATATCATCCAATGGAAAAAGTGAAGCTGTCCCTCATCAAAAAGTTCAGTTACAGAAATTTACAAACGGTTATTTACTTTATGCGCAAAAAATGTATTTGCTGCAAAAACCTACGCACATACAATGAGTCATGAAAAGTCAGTCCTTTTTTCGGATTCGTGAAATTTTGATTGAATATTGAAGCGATCGGATCATTTAATTCAATAATTATCATTAATTTTTTTATACGCGATCAGTGTAAGAGTAATGTGATGTGTAGTATTAATAATTGCAAAAATATTGTATACGATTCGACTAATCCCTCAGTTTGCACTTATTTTTTGCAAGTTATGTCAATAATCTTTGTTTTGATGCCATTAAAGATACAAAAGGTCCATTTATAACATATTATTCTTAATTGCACAGAAGATTGCGGAGTATGAAATTAAATTTCCTTTTCCGTACAAAATTCGTAATATTTTTCCTATATGAACTAAATTTATTATTATTAGATTTGAACATGTTACGTCAAAGTTTTTCCGAGATTCATTGTATATTTCTTTTGTTTATTTTTAGTTGAATAGAATTTCTGATTAAACTTTAATATTCAAACAAAAAGTGAGTAATATGTATTGTTTTATGTCACTTAATTTTTACTACTAATTGAAACGTAAACATCTATAGCTTATACTTTTACGAATGATATATGTACTATTTAATAATATTTTAGTCTTTCTCTATGTCAAACATGTAAGTAAATTTCAGAAAAATTTAAAAACAAATACAGTTTGTATTTTTCTCTACTGACCTGTTCTTGCGTGCTGACATAATCTTACAAAGCATGATGTGAAGAAATAAACAAACACACATGTTTTAGAAGCACTTCTGCTAAGGTGCTCTTATGCTCTACTGAAAGCTCAAACATCTAAAAAATAAACCGCTTGCTTCGAATATACCATTTCGTTACTAGTTCTTATCAACCTTGGTATTTGCCTACATATACCAGTATGAGTATAGATAATGTAGAGACAAAGTTTTGAATGGTTGTGAACGAAACCGTATTGAATTGTCAAAATGTAATAGAGTGTAACTTTTTAAATACTAATGTATAGCAGTGATGATCTTCACACTCCTTGACGAAATTTTTCAAAATCTATTGTTTTGTCGTGTGCAGGTTGTCTACCCCACCGTTTGCGTTTTGACATTTGTTCTCTCTTTCTGTCTGTCTGCTGTGCACTTTGTAACGTTGTATTATTTAATATTGTTATCATTTTTCTCTATGTCCATTTATTTTTGTTTAGTTATTACAACAATTTGGTGTGTGCTCGTCTGCTACTAATTCTTCTCGCTTTATTGACATGCACTAATTTTGTTTATTGCTTGAATCAACAACGAGATTCAAAAACAGCAGCAACTCCCTATCAAAATTCTACTAGTATTTCACAATCGTCACAATCGCCATCATCATTTGAAACCGTTAAGGAGTTATTCTATAACGGTATATCCCGATTTTATTCAACGAAATCGAATGATAAAGGTCAAAACACATCGGTTTTTGACAACGAAACAACTGTAATCAATACTACATCGTTGTCGATTTTATCCTCAATGTTTAACTTTGATACCGTTAATATGTCTGATTTTGGTTCAGTATTTTCCTGGGCTTTATCCATAGTTGCACAAGCACTGATGATATTTGGTGGTGTAGTACCGTACATTCCACAATATCTAATGATTAAACGAACACAAAATGCTGAAGGTTGATAAAATCTTATTTATATCAAGGCACACATCTGATATAGTATTTTTAATTTAGGATTTTCGAATTATGTCTGTTTAACATTATTAGTAGCAAATATAATTCGAATTGAATTTTGGTTTGGTAAACATTTTGAAATACCCTTGCTATTACAATCAATTATAATGATAGTATGTATGTTGATTATGCTTGAATTATGGACACGAGTACATACAAAATCCTATCAAGGAGGACAACAATTAGGTGTCACATCATTAACTTCAAGCGAAAAAAGATTTATTGATTTTGATATTGATTATTTCTGGAAATGGACTACATTCGCTAGTTATGTGCAATTTTTATGTTTATTTACATTTGTTTTAAGTATGTACACGCTTTTCATTTTTGTATCTGTTAAATTGTACACGTTGCTGGTGTGTTAACTTTGATATTCTATTTAGGTACAATAACGTGGGTATTTGTTGAGAATAAGATTTATATTGAAACAATTGGCTTTTTAGCTGTGTTTTTTGAAGCACTATTAGGTACACCACAATTTCTAAGAAATTATCGGCATAAATCAACAGATGGAATGAGTGTTGGAATGGTTTTGATGTGGACAAGTGGTGATATATTTAAAACTAGCTACTTTCTTATACGAAAAGCTCCAAAACAATTTTGGTTATGTGGTAGTTTACAAATAGCTATTGATATCGCTATATTATTTCAAGTATTCATTTATTCGGATAAATTTCGAAATCGAAAACGATAAATTTCGATTATAACAAACGATAAATGGTATTAATACGAAAAATTAGACAATAATCAAAATTTGCATTATTTTTGTTTTTTTTCTAAAGGCTTATATACTTTTACGTGTATATGTATGTATTGAACCTTTTTTCCTCTGTCTCACTTCTCATTATCTTGCGATATTTAAGCGCAAGACGGTTTTTTTTTTTTGCTTGATGAATCTCTTTTCATTTAGTTTTCACTCGCAACAATGTCGCAATAATAACAAAAACGTCCATAGCCTATTTCTTTATCGATCTGAGTAGCTCAATCTGTTCCGGTTTTCTGCCAAAATTTTTCATGTTAAAGACTATTTAGAGCCGGTGCTTTCATATTAGGAGCTTATTATTTGTGCTGGAGTTTTCTATAAAAATTATATTTTGTGACAATTTATGTTTTTCTATTCACTTTTTTTTTCTACCTTTCTGAGAACTTATTAGAAACTTTTATGTTTAAGTGCTTTAAACGAATCTAATACTGTAGTTCCGATTTTGTGTGCTGTTTTTGATAAATGCTATATATATATATATATATGTATGTTTTGACTCATTAATATTTACGAATATATATTATTCTTTGAATAACTTTTTTCAAAAAGTTTTTGAAAATTTTTACGCTCTGTGATGAAAGAAAAGTACTATTTTTCAGCTAAAATGATTTATAAATCGTCGTATATCGTATCGTTTTGATTTTCTAGATTGAATGCCTGCGATGATATCGTTAGACGAATCAATTGAACCGTATACAACTGTTCTTATATCATCAATTCCAAAAAATTTTCGTTCATGTGATTTACGTAATTTTTTTTCATTATTTGTTGAAACAAATTCATTTAAATGTTTTCATTATCGACACCGTCCAATGCCAAATGAAAATAATCAATGTAGTCTTTATACTATGTGTTTTGTACAAATATATAATAAAAAATTAAATGAATTTATTCGTTTATATCATCGAAAACATTGGCTTAATTCAAAAGGAAATTATTTATCGTCGACATGTTTAATAAGTAACGTTAAAACTGAAGAAGGTAAATAAATATTCATCGTCATACACATGGCTTGCACAAGTTCAAAGAGTTGCATTTTTTAAAACGAAGGTATAATATTCAAAATTGCATGAATTGCAAAAACTGGAAACTGTTTTAGCACCAAATCTGCCTGTCTATATTCTATATGCGATGACTTAATTTGAATTTTTGTCGGAAGGGAAAGTAGAGTTAAAAACGGAGCCGAAGAAAGGGATACGATATTGAATGTGAACAAACTTCATGCATAAGAGAACTTAACTTGTCTAAGTGGTAGAAAACTAGACGCAGCAGGGAGACAAAAGATAACATATATATTATCCTTAGTGTGTATAGATAGTTTTCATGTTTTGAAATCGTAGTAATTTGAACTTGTACATACTGGCCTTCGATTGCATTTTTCTGAAAAAAGAGGAATGAAAATGGATCTTAGAAAGTTTTTAAAAAAGGATTTGAAGTGAAGAAAGAGAAAAAGGAGGAATGTATTTTTCAGTCTGAATCTCAGGCATAGAAAAAGTAGTATCGCCTATCACCCAACGCATCTCGGTGATCAATTTACTGGTCGACGCATATAGATGCAGATAAATGTTTCTCGCGATGCAACTAGATAGCACTGCCCATGGAATGACATTTTCATCGGGAAAAACTCGGTGCATTCAAATATATTGGGCAATACTTCGACCGATGCAGCTAGCTAACTCGATGCTCTAGCTGGAATCAAAGAGTAAACAATATCGACCGATACTCCAGCTAAAGCATCTAGATATTTCGGCTGGAGTACTTTTGCTTGGAATGGAAAAAAATTAGATTGTACAATTTCTCTCTATTAGTTATTTTTTGATGTTGTTTCATAACAATGTGATAATTGTTTCTACTTTCGGTGTATGATGTACGAGAGTCACGGAGAAAGACCATAAAATCTGCTTTGTGTTTTCGTCGTATCATTTTTGTCAATTTATTGGCATACTAAACATGCCAATACTGTTCAAAAGAAATAGCTACCATGTTGTAGTCAAATAACTATGTAAAAAAATTAAAGTTTACTCTTCTAGTGGTCCACACTACTAGATAAGTGTAAATATATACTGTGTACAAAGAAAGAAGAAAATGAGGATGAATCGTAGGCCTACTCGTACATACTGTTTTATCTTTCTTTGTCTATATAAATACTAATTATTTATAGTATCATCGATTTCTACCAATTTAATTGAATTAAAACCGCCTAAGCATGTCTATCCCAAAGGCAATGTTGGCACACCAACAATGTATTTTCTTGATGAAATAAACAACTGCAGATTACCAGCCACAATTATAAGTAAGCACAAACGATAAAGTCTTGACTTGTATTGTGATCATTTTGTTTTATCTCTTTCTAGAAAAGCTTGGGCTTGTTTTTCCAAAATGTCGTGGAAAGAAAAAATATAGTATGGTAGGCTATGATTATGGAAATTTCGAAGATGACGATTATTATAATGAAGAAGAATACCAGAAAGTCGATGATTTATACTTGAAAACAGGACAAGGACATGATATTTTGTCAGAAAGTGATAAATCAACTCTTGATACTTTGAATTCATTGGTAGATCAAAATAGATCGAAAAAGGTATATTTTTTAACTATAATGTCTATCTACCCACGTGAATATTTCCGTTTGAAAAAACGCGTTTGAATGCGTCTAGAATGAAACATCTAAAAAATGTGTTGCAGGCACGTTTCGATTCGTCCAGATGTTTCATTTTGGATGCTTTCAAACGCGTTTGTGACATAAAATTTTTCCATGGATGGTCCGATAAGATTTGATATCCATCACTTTAAAAGAGATACATTCCATTATCGTACAGTAGGATACACTTCCCTATCCTGCTAAACTGTTATATCCTTGGCTTATTCGAGATGAGATTAAATAATGTTTCGTACTCTTAGGAGGATGCTAACGACAAAAATATCGAAATGGAAGAAGAACAAATTTCTGCTACTGATAAAACTTTGGATGATGAAGAAGATGGACAAGAAGAATGGGATCGCCATGAAACATTGCATGACGATGTAACGAAACAGGACCGAACATCACCATATTTTTTTGATCATGAAATTGAATTACAATGGGAGAAAGGTGGTAGCGGTTTAGTATTTTATACCGACGAAGTGTTTTGGAAAGAACATGAAGGAAAAGATTTCGATGCCGATACAGCCGATGATTGGGATATTGACACGAGAATTTATTATGAAAGTGCAGGTATTGTATACGCATATCCGAAGAACATTGAAGAGAAATTGACAGTGGTGTGTTTATCTCTCAGACTAAGCTCACAACTCTTCTTTGTAACTAGCTGGATCACTGTACTTTTCTTCTCTTTTAAGGATCGGCGGACAGAGATGGGAATGAGTTATATGATATACGTCGCGAAGAATATCTGCGTGAAGGACACTTAATCAATGAAACTGATCCTGAACATCGAAGGCCGGGATCAGTAATAAGAATCGGTGCATTCGAAAAATATACAAAGGGTGTTGGCCGTCGAGTAATGGAAAAACAAGGTTGGAAAGACGGTGAAGGTCTTGGATCAACAATAAAAGGAATACCTGATGCGTTAACCAGTGAAGGTGGTAAAAAGTCTCGGGATAAAACTGGCCTTGGTTATTATGGTGAAAAAGTAGAGCGAGGAGTAAATGCAAAAAAACGTCGTGTAAATATGGATGATCAAGTACGAATAACGACAATCTATGATGATCCCAACGAAACAGATCCGAAGGAATCGATTAATCGAAGATGGAATTCAACTTTTTTAAAACATCGAACCAATCGGAAAAAAAACGTATTTGCTAAGCAAAATTTTTAACTTTTTTTATAAAATTTTCTATGTGACTAATTTAAAAGAGTTTTTTTCTTTATTCTTTTCGATCTTTAGCCTTTTTCAAACTCAACTGTAAAATTTTCAAATTACAGATGTAATTCTTATATTAGTCAGTTTTTGTCAACCATATCGTATGTGATGTAGAAATTGCACAAGATAATAAACAAGGGAGTACGACTTCTAACGGAATACGTGAGTTTTCTGAAAAGTGATCGAGTTATGATTAAGGTGCCGTAGTTTCAAAAAGACGGCAAAATTTCCTTTTTTCGTTGCCTTTGGCATGTTCGGATAGGGCATATCGAGCTACCTAGAAAAGAATCACTTTAGGATCTTTAAAAGTGGGGGCCTCCTATGCATCTTGCAAGCCTGTCTAGTCCCAGAGATTAAGACATATATCAAGAACCCATATTTAATTCAAGTCATTATACTTGTGGGAAGAACGATCGTATCCTTTTTGAAAACTTTCGTTCCTGAGAAAATTTTTGTTAAATCGTGCAAAAAGCAAGAGATTCTACTCATGTTCTGCCTTTCCATCATCAAATTTCAATTTTTTTTGAAAAGCCAAGATCATGCTCGAAATCAGCGTCAAATGATATTTGTTTCAAAAATTTTGGGCAAATTCATATTTTGAGCGAATTAATTAGTAAAAAACCAAAATGGCTTTTGAAAAACTTAAAGTGACTTTTTCTAGGTAACACGATGTGCTCTATGCAGGAGAAAACAGAAAGAACTTTTGCTGTCGTTTTGAATTTCTAGTACCTTATATCGAAAGAAAAAGTACAAATTCTATACTGATCTGATCTGATGTAGAGGACCATTACTCGTTACTTTTAACGGGAATTTTTATCTGCTTCGAAACAGACTAGATTTCGCCAGTTTTTAATAACTTTTGCAAGAAAGGGGATGTGATTTAGAAAAAAATAAACTGGATCTAATTTCACAATCTTTCTAGAGTGGTTTTCTCGAGGATCTTTGGAAACCAGACTATAGTCTAAAAGACTAAGTCTATTATTTTCTTTCACAGAATATAGTCTAGAGTATCGTCTTCAAAATGGGAGCCAAACGAGATACTGATTTTTTATCGTTCAGATGTGGCATTGGTTTACTAGGAGCCACAGGATCGGTATCTCACCGTTTTTGATAGCTGCAAAACGAATAGAATGTTATAGAGAATAATCGAGACTCATATATAAGACTATAAGATCATTGTTGAAGAAAGAAACAAAGATAATTATTGACTGACTGGTTGTTAATTGAAAATAAAACTTGAATAATTCCATTTTGTTCACTACATATACCATATATAAAAGGATTGTATCGTATATAAAAATAGAGTAGTGCTTAGTACTCAGAATCAGAAATCAGAATACTAAACCAAAAAGAAAAGAATCTCACTAAAAATAGCAACGTTATTAACTAATAGCTTCTTATCAAGCAAATACAAACCTCAAAGTTTTTTAAACAGTTTGAATAGTAATCAGAACTGAATATTGATCTATGGATGTAAGTTTGAAAGAATTTTTTTTGAAATTATTGCTTAGGAAAACATAAATTATATCTCAGTTAACTTCTTCAAAAAAAAACCACTATAGTACAGATCTCGATTGTCGAGTGACACAACGAAAAGCCTAGTACAGATAGAATTACATGTATTGTCTTGAACACCATCTCATTAACTTGAACTAGTCTTTTCCATTTATGTGTACTTTTCTCCTATCTAACGTCGAATG